TTCCCAGCTCTTCTTCGGCGTGGGATCGATGCTCCGTAGCCACAGCAACGCCCGGACACGCCGAGGATGCAGCGGGAGGTCAGTGGATTTCAGTTCATCCCCATTCAACACCCCGCGGGATTCCTGGCTGATTCCGAGTGGGATCATTCCCGGGAAAGCGGATTAAACCGTGTCCCTGCTCCGCTGGGTCCGCGGGGAATGGGAACGACACTGCTGCTCGTTCCATGCAGGACTTTCTGCATTTTCTCCCTCTCAAACCCCCTCGGATCTTGCTCCGAGTAATTTCCAGCTTTAAACTTTATTCCCTCTTTCCTTATGGAATTCCTGACCAGCCCCCTCCCTCAGAGGGCTGGTAAATGAGGGCACGGAGCAAGGGGGGAATACCCAGGGCTGCAAATCATTCCATAATCCATAAATCCCAATCCACCAAAATGCCAATCCCTCCAAAAACCCCAATCCCTGGAAAACATGGGARCAGAGGACTCTGCAYCATGCCAGGGGGACAATCCAGCCMCAGCACCRGCACGCTGTTCCCAYATCCCTGCCATCYTCACCACCCATGTTCTCCCCTGTTTTCCATTCTTTAGGCATTTTCCCCTGGAAAACTCAGGAATGGGTGTGAAAACCCTCCCACATTTTCCTTCAGCAGCTCTTGGGTGGGATTTSGGGCTGTGGAGAATCAGCACAATTTGTCCCCCATCAGGACAATCCCAATTTCCAGAGCTCCCTACACTGAAATCCACTAAAATYGCTCATTTTCCCCCTTAAACACACCAAAGGAATTGAATCCTTGTGTTTATTCCCAAAGCCTCCCTGCAGAGCCACCACCCAGCTCTGCATTCRGGAACAGAGGGAGAGGGAGAAAGGGAAGAATGAAGGAATTGCTCCAAGGTCACCTGGACAGGTGACCAAACTCCCAGCACAGAACCTGCTGGAAGAAGCCATGGAGAGCTCCACATTTTGGGAATTCCTGAGGAACACGCAGACGTGGAATTTTTGRTAATGGACATGGAAACCCAAAAATGCTGCAGGAAATCGGGGCTCATCCGCAGTGGAACAGCGCAGGAACGGCGCTGGAAGGTCCCTCCTGACCGGAATTCTGGAATTCCCTGACAGAGTCAGCAATGGACACAGCTCCAGGTGACCCTGGGGCCAACACGCTCACGTATGTGACCCTGTCTGGATTCCATCCCTTAATTAATCATTATTAATGAATTAATTAATCCGGTTAATTAATTATTCATGTATTGTGCTAATGAGGGCGGGTCGTGCTCTGACAGAATTCCCAGCACACAGAATCCCCTGCTGGAAAGTGCTGCCCTGGATTCATGGATCGGGAATATCCATCAGTGCCAACTCTGCCACCCYTAATGAGCTCTTCCCAATTAGCCCGGGCAGTAATTACCCCCCGGGCTGAGTCATTCCCATTCCCACCTCGCCTCCGGATCAAACATTCCTGCAATCCCGAGGGGAAAGTGCCCCCCGACCCCAATACTATCCCTGACTGCCCTTCACACAGAACCCCAAAACCCCATAAATACCCCGAACATTCCTAAATGCYCCCAAACATCCCCACAGACACCTCCACGGCCCCATAAATTGCTCACAGACCCCSAAACACCCCCATAGACCCTCCCACACTCCCCTAAATCACCCCAAACACCCTCATAGAGCCTGGCAAACCCATGTACAGAACCCCAGCGTTCCTTTGGACCCCATAAACTCCTCACATAGACCCCCAAACATCTCTTTATACCCCCATACCACCTACAGATTCCCAGGACACCCCTACAGACCCCATAAATCCTTCACACAGAACCCCAAACAACTCTTTATATCCCCAGAACACTACAGATTCCCAGGACACCACTACAGACCCCCATAAATCCCTCACACAAAACCCCCAACAACCCCATAAACTGCACACAATCCCACAGACCCCCATAAATATTTCACACAGATCCCAAACGCTCACCAGACCCCCTCAAACCGCTCCCACGGACCTCCCAAAACCCCTAAATCTTTTCGTACACCCCCAGAAAACCCCCCAAAACCCCATAAACCCCTCACACAAAACCCCCAACAACCCCATAAACTGCACACAATCCCACAGACCCCCATAAATATTTAACACAGATCCCAAACGCTCACCAGACCCCCTCAAACCGCTCCCACGGACCTCCCCAAACCCCTAAATCTTTTYGTACACACMCAGAAACCCCCCCAAAACCCCATAAACCCCTCATACAGATCGCCATACACCATTTACACCCCCCCAGCCGCACGTACAGACCCCATCACCCCTCTTCACCCCCACATACACCCATAAACCCCACACACCGACCCCAAACCACCCCCTTACACCCATTTACGCGCTCCCACACCCCTCACACCGCCCCACAACACCCCTTTCCACCCCCACACCATACCCCACACCCCCACAACGAAGAACGCTCGGCATCCCACCACCACCGCGACACCTCTCRCTCTCTCCCCCGCCCCAAATTTACATCCTCCCCCATTCCCGGGATCCTTAAACCCCCTCAGGCCTTCCCCGGTACCTCCGGCCCGGCCGCTCCCAGCGCCGCCGACCCCGCCCGATGACAGGACCCCCGAGGGCTGCCCCGYGCCGTGCCTGACGCCCAGCGCGGCCGTACGGCCGCGCTGGGCGTCAGGCACGGCRCGGGGCAGCCCGAGGGGGCAGTAAGGGCGGAAGGGGCTTCACTCTGTACGCATGCGCAAAGTGCAAAGTGAAGCCGGACAGAGGGAGGGGCGAGTGATGGCGGTGCCAGGACCGGGGAGGAGGATGAGGAGGAGGAGGAAGAAGAAGCCGGACGGGGTTGAAGGAGTGAGGACGAAACGCGGCTGGGAGACCCCGGTAAGTGTTGCCAAGCTGGATTTGTTACCCGGTGATAGCGAGGCGGTGTTGCCATGGGAACGGGGTGGTTATTCCCGRTCTGCCCTTCCTTGGGATCGGGTCCTGGTCCTGATCCCGGGACGTGGGGCGGGGGAAAGCGATCCCCAAAGGGGATGGCCACCCCAAAGGGGGTGGCCGGGGGTCACTGAGGGGKGGTGTCCCCAAGAGGGGGTCCCCAAGGAGGGGTTCGTGGGGAGGGGTCTTTTATTTGGGGTCCCAAAGTGGGGTCCCCAAGGAGAGGTTCTTGGGGAGGGGTCTTTGATTTGGGGTCCCAAAGTGAGGTCCCCAAGGAGAGGTTCTTGGGGAGGGGTCTTTTATTTGGGGTCCCAAAGTGGGGTCCCCAAGGAGAGGCTCCTGGGGAGGGGTCTTTTATTTGGGGTCCCAAAGTGAGGTCCCCAAGGAGAGGCTCCTGGGGAGGGGTCTTTTATTTGGGGTCCCAAAGTGAGGTCCCCGAGGAGGGATCCCCAAGGAGATGCTCCCTCAAGGGGAGGGTCCCCAAAGCTGTTGATGGGAGGGAGGGAATCCCCTCCCTTGGAATTTCCCGGTCCGGAAGGCTCCGGCGCCCCCGATCCCCYATTCCCGGTGTCCCATCCCGGTGCTCCGGTGCCCGGTGAATCCGGGGAGTGGCGGCGCGGGCGGTGACAGTGACGGTGACGGCGGGACACGGCCCTGCCCTGCCCTGATTACTCACCGGGCACCGGGTCCCGTCTTCCAGACCCCTTTCCGTACCGGCCGCCTCCTTCCCTCCCTTGTGTACCTGAGCTGCTTCCCGGAGGGTCTTTTCTCAATTCCCGGGGGTCTAYTCCCAGCCCAGAGGGTCTTTTCCCAGTTCCTGAGAGTTTTTCCCCAGTCCCCGGAGGTCTTTTCCCAGTCCACGGGGGTCTCCTCCTGTTTTATAGGTTTTTTTTCCCGGTCCCCTGGAAAAGTCTTTTCCCCTGGGAGTCTTTTCCCAGTCCATAAGAGCATTTTCCCGGTTTCAGAGCGTCTTTTCCCAGTCCCTGAGGTCTTTT